GGCCCATATGACAGATTACCTCATAGGGTGCTGATCAGAAAGTTCCAGACTCACTAGTTAAGACTACATTTTGTGGGGAGGTTGGAATTTATGGTTAAGTGTTAGGTTTTTTTTTTTTTTTTAAGATTTTATTTATTTATTTGACAGAGAGAGACAGCCAGAGAGAGAACACAAGCAGGGTAAGTGGGAGAGAGAGAAGCAGGCTTCCTGCTGAGCAGGGAGCCCGATGCAGCACTCGATCCCAGGACCCTGGGATCATGACCTGAGCCGAAGGCAGACGCTTAACGACTGAGCCACCCAGGCACCCCAGGTGTTAGGTATTAAGCCCAGTTTGGTGACTTGGCCTAAGTGGCTTGGGCCTGTGGGTTTCCTTTTAATACCCCAAAGAAACAATATTGTAAGTAATCTGGGCCCAAGTCAGCCTAAAGCCAACCTAATTTTACCCATGGAATTCTTGGAGTATATGTAGTATCTACACTTACAACAATTTTATGAGTTGACTTCATTTTAAGTTCCAACTAGAGTCACCCAAAACAGATCTTCATTCATTAGAATGAGGAGTTGAGAGAATATATTGAACATAGCAAACAATCAGATATTAAACTCTGGCTGTTGGTAACTTGTTAAACTAAGTCTTCAGAAAGGAAGACAGATTTCTGTATCTCCCTTTGTGTCCGAAAGGATAGGATGGAAATAAGATTTCCTTCAAAAGCTAGGAGCTGTTTGTGGTTATCTTTTTTTTTTAACTGTAAAAGAAATGCATATCCATTTAAAAATAAATACTAGTTTACTTAAAAGTAATGATAATCTCAACTTATTGCCAAGTGATGCAGAAAAAGTGCGTGTATACACATGCAACACAGATAAAAGCACATGTGGCCAAAAAATTAGCAGTTTGTGAATATAGATGATGTTTATAAGGTTGTTTATATTCTTTCAACTTCTCTGTAAGTTTGAAATTTTCCCAAAAAAGAAGATGGAGATTAAAAAAAAAACAACAAACAAGAATATTCCTTTATCTCCAATTCCCAATTTTAGTATATGTGCTGCTGAAGCGAAGCACCCTTTATCTCCAGTTCCCAACCCTATTCATTCTCCAGAGGTAAACTGTTAGCAGTGAAGCTTGTATCTTTTCAAGCAAGTTTTTAAAAAAATTCATTTAGAAAGATACAGAAGTATAATTTTTTGCATAAATGGAATCATAGTATACATAGGATTATACTGTATTTACTGATATTCTGCTTGCTTTTTAAATTTAACAGTATGTACTGGTTTTCTGTTGCTGTGTAATAAATTACCACAAACTTAGCGACTTAAAACAACACAAATATAGAGTTTTGGAGGTCAGAAATCTCTCTGGGCTAAAATCAAGCAGGGCTGTGTTTCTTCAGGGCACTTAGGGAAAATCGATTTTATTGCTTTTTTCCAACTTTTTAGAGTCTCCTCCAGTCCTTGGCTCATGGCCCCCTCCTCAGTCTTCAAAGCATCTTGAAGCTTAGCATCTTCAGATATCTTTGACACTTCTCTCTTAAAAGGACCCTTGTGAAATCAGTGGGCCCACTTGAATAACCGCCATCTTAAGATCTTTAATTGTGTCTGCAAAGTCCCTTTTGCTTTGTAAGGTAACATATAGACAGATTTCAGGGATAGGACATGGACATCTCTGGAGGGCTCTTATTTTACCTACCACACTGTATATCATGCCTAGCTTGCTTTATCAGTATATGTGAATCTAACATTCTTTTTAACAACTGTATAGAACTGATGTAAAATTTATGTAATCACTCTTATGAATATTTAGTTTTCTAATTTTTATGTGACAATAAGTCCTACTAGGAACATTCTTGTACATATCTGTGTGAATATATCAGTGTACCTGCGGGATAAATTCCTAAAACTGCTGGGTCAAAGGGTAAATGTGTTATTGATTTGATAATACTGCCAAATTGCCTTCCATACTGTTCTACCAGTTCACCTTCCCATAGCCACACCTATTTATTTCCCCATACTCTTGTAAACACAAAATATTAATAATCTTTTTCATGTTTTTAATATAGTAAAAATTTTATTCCAAATTGCATTTCCATCAAAAATGAGGTTGAGCATTGTTGTATTACTTTCTTTTGGAATTTCAGATTAAACGTTTAGGGCATAAAGAGCAACATATTTCATGATGGACTTCTGAGAATTTGGGTCCATGATGTTTGTATTTATTTAAAAGCATGTTTACACTATACTAAATGTTTTTTAAATAAAATAGCTATACATTAAGGTCAGTGGCTTCCCAAAAGAAACATGTTGTAATAATTACCAAGACTTCTTAATAAGTAAGTGTATATTGGGCTTTGTTATTGATTACAATAAAACACAATAATTTATTTCCTTGTTTCTAGGTTTTGTTTTGTTTTTTCTTGGTGTTGAAGTAATTCTGAATTGGTTTTTTTTTTTTAACTCTGTAACTACCAGCTTCATAGTATCAGCTTTGAATAAGTCTCCATTACCTCTTTGTCACATTCTACTTTCCTCCACACAATATGTGAAATCTCTGTGATACATAGAAAAGATAGAGAAATGCAAAATGTAATTTGAGATTATCTCTACTCAGCCTTCAGCTAACTGATCTTAAATGACTGATCTCTGAGAGAAAAGTTATTCCATCCATAACTCAAACCTTTTAAAAATCCTTTCAAACTGAAAACAATGGCTCCTTCTGAAGATAGGGGCAGGAAGATGACTGGGTGGCCAGAGTGGTAGTGTCAAGGGTGGGAGGGAGTCTTCTTAGTGTATAGTCCTTCTTAGTATCTTTAAAGATTGTAAATATGGAACTAGGTCACCTATTTAAAAAATCATTTTTAAAGCCCTTTTATAATTCTCATGTGACTCAAGTGGCAGCTTGATTCATTCCATTGAGGTGTGGGAAGATGAGCCTCATATCTCTCCACATTAAAGGTAGGATCTAAAAGTGATTCTTAATCTCAAATTCCAACTTTAGTGTATACAGTTGACCCTCGAACAATGTGGGGGTTAGAGATGCCATGTATAACTTTTGACTCCCCCAAAACTTTACTAATAGCCTGTTGACTGGAAGCCTCACTGATAACATGAACAGTTGATTAATACATATTTTGGATGTTATTTGTATTATATACTGTATTCTTACAATAAAGTAAGCTAAAGAAAATGTTAAGAAAATCATACAGAAGGGAAAATACATTATAGTACTGTACTGTATTAAAATTTACCTGTATGTGGACCTATGTGGTTGAAAACTGTGTTCAAGGAGCAACTGTATATTATTACTATTGCAGTATAAATTCCTGCATAAATATATTTTGAAAGAAAATTAAACGTAAATCACCTAGAACTTATAAATCAATTGATAATCCAAGTCCCATGCATTTAATTCTTCCTTCCTCTCTGAAAGTCTCATTGAAGTAACAAAAAGAAATAGAAACACGGAGAAAATGCTGATAAACTTGGGTAATCAGAAGCTGAGGGTGTATACTAAAAACTTTATTTCTAAAGGACACAGTGTTGGAGAGATTTCTTTGAACTTTTCATTGATCGGTTCTCAATATTAAAAAAAAAAAAACCTGAAATGTTGATTAATGCTCGCCCATTCAATCCTCCTGCCAACCCCCCATGAAAAACATAGCTCAGAGCTACGAGTATTGTGAGCAAGGGAGCCAGTTTTTTTTGTTTTTTTGTTTTGTTTTGCAAGGGAGCCAGTTGATGGGAAGCAAACCTAGACCTTGGCTCACACTTCTCAGGCTTCTTTGTTGGACCTCTTCTACTCAATTCAGTAGGATGTTGGTTTTTCTCAGGGTTTCATGGCTTCACTTACCATCTATTTGATGATAGTTTCCAAGTGTAAATCTCCAGTCCAGTCACACTCTACCCCCTATCCTCCTATGCACATTAAAATCTAAACACCTTTAAATCAGAAAGATGAAAAGACTTACAAATCTTTCCTCCTTTTATTCCTTTTTTCTTTTTCCTCTTATGTATAAGCAGGTTTGCTGATAATGCCAAATGGCATTAGTAAGTGTGGCTTATCCTTACATCTGTCATTCAGAGTTTAAAAGTATTTTTGCCAGGGGGCGCCTGGGTGGCTCAGTTGGTTGAGCATTGGACTCTTGATTTCGACTCAGGTTGTAATCTTAGGGTCATGAGATCCAGCCCTGCTTTGGCTCTGAGCTAAATATGGAGTCTGCTTGGGATTCTCTCTCTCCCTCTGCCCCCCTCCCGACAGGCACTCTCTCTTGCTGTCTAAAGTAAATAAATTTTTTTTAAAGATTTTGTTTATTTGCTAGCAAGAGCGCACACGCATGTGCGAGAGTACAGAGGGAGAAACAGGCTCCCCAGTGAGCAAGGAGCCCAATGCGGGACTCAATCCCAGGACCCTGGGATCATGACCTGAACCGAAGGCAGACACTTAACCAACTGAGCCACCCCGGCGTCCCTAAAGTAAATAAATCTTAAAAAATGATTTCTGCCAGGGCTCCTGGGTGGCTCAATCAGTTAAGCTGTGGACTTGAGATATTGGCTCAGGTCATGATCCCATGGGTCATGAGATAGACCCCTGTGTTGAGCTCCACACAGTGGGAAGTCTGCTTGAGAGTTTCTCCCTCTGCCCCTCCCCCCACCTGCGCATGCTCTCAATTGTGCTCTCTCAAATCAAAAAATCTTTCTTAAAAAAAGTATTTTTGCGGCACGCCTGGGTGGCTCAGTCGTTAAGCGTCTGCCTTCAACTCGGGTCATGATCCCAGAGTCCTGGGATCAAGCCCCGCGTTGGGCTCCCTGCTCAGCGGGAAGCCTGCTTCTCCCTCTCCCACTCCCTCTGCTGTGTTCCCTCTCTCGCTGTGTCTCTCTCTCTCTATCAAATAATAAAGTCTTTTTTTAAAAAAAGTATTTTTATAGTATTTTTGCCTATCCTGATAGGCAAAATGCTCCCTTTGATCATGATAAAACCTTTTGGCTAACATTGCTTACTATTTTAGGTTGAATTCTCTTACCCGCCCCTGATTCCAGGAGATGGACATGACAGCCACACTTTACCTGAAGAATGGAAGTATTTGCCCTTCCTTGCCTTACCAGATGGCGCACACAACTACCAGGAAGGTATGTAAACAATGGAACAATTAGTAGGTGCCTTTTTTTTATTTTAATTTACCAAGACATCTTAGATTCTAAGTATTTTGGTAAATCAAAGGCCTTTGGCTTCTTGTGACTATTCATAAAATATTTTAAATGCTTGTTTGGAGATGACTAGTCATGCACTGGAAGATTTCCAGAGGAGTGCTGGGCTTATGTTGGTAATGTTAGTGAACGTTGGCCACTCTTTTGCCAGGAGCCCTGGTCAAAGTAAGTGGCCAGATTAGGACGTCTGCTGCTGGTAGCACTTCCTACATTCATACCTCAGACTCCTCTCGGAGGGAAACTAAAGGGCTTACCTCTACTGGCTACCAATTGACTAGGGTTCTAGCTGCAAACTTACTAGGTTAGTATTCCAGTGCCCACCTGGGATTGCTTCTCCACCTCTGGAGCCACTGCTATTGCAGTGCTCTGCTTAAAAGTTACATGTAAGGGGTGGCTGGCTGGCTTAGTTGGTAGAACGTGAGACTCTTGATCTTGGGGTTGTAAGTTCAAGCCCCATATTGGGTGTAAAAAAAGTTTGCATATAAGAGGAACATGTTAACACCCTCAGAGAAAAAGCAATGCTGTGAAATTACTGCTGAGTCTCCTATGACCCTATAAATGAGTGCTTTGGCTCAACAGAGGATGTTTTATTATGGCGTGGACTCTAGCAAAACACCAGATTAAACTTGGTTTAATTACCTCTTATACTTAATAATTTTCATATGAAATGAAGGAAATGTTACTATGTAGTTTAGTGTAAAATTTAAATACATTATTTTTAACCTTGCAAATCTTTTCTTCCTTTCTTATTATGAAAGCTTTTAAACATACAGAAAAGTTGAAAGAATAGTATAGTGAATATCCCACAGATTTTCTTTATATTTATGTGTGTGTACAGTTTTGCCTCTCCTATTTGAAAGTCTAACACCATGTTGTAGACATTTAGTTTACCTCTAAATGCTTCAGCATGCACTCCTAAGAGTAAGATCATTCCTCAGGGTAACTTCCAGTACCATTATGACAGCTAAGAGATTTAACAGTAATTTGAATATATCTAATATCTAATCTATGTTCAAATTTCTCCAGTTATTCCAAGAATTTCTTGGATCTATCCAAGATTCATGTGTTACCTTTTGTTTGTATGATTCTCTACCTCTTTTAATCTGAAATAAAATATTTTCCTTTTTTAATTTTTTTAATTTAAATTCAATTAATTAACATATAATGTATTATTCGTTTCAGAGGTAGAGGTCAGTGATTCATCAGTCTTACACCCAGTGTTCATTATATCACGTGCCCTCCTTAATGTCCATCACCCAGTTACCTCATCCCCCCACCCGGCCCCCCTCCAGCAACCCTCAGTTTGTTTCCTATGATTAAGAGTCTTTTATGGTTTGATTAAGTATTTTCTGAGATAAGTGATTGTAGTTTCAATTTTAACCTGTTATAATTCAGCCCCTTGGGCTTTTTGAGAATGTGCATGAATGAATGTACGTGGCAAGGCAGTAAGATGGATTCTAAGAAACCAGTGGTTGTGATGCTAGAAGTAGATATGACATGGGTTCCTTGTTACATCATCATTTTGGTTGTAATTAACTGTATTATAATATTTCAGTTTACATTATTAATAAGGGTAATTCACTTTGGTATTTACATTTTTCTGTGTATCTCTTAGATACTGTGTTTTTTCACTTGCCACCCAGAAATGGAAACGGAGCCACAGTGTATGGTATCTCCTGTTACCGACAGATTGAAGCCAAGGTATGGTAGTTACAATGAACAACAACAGAAAACACTGGTATTTTAGATTTTTATAAACAATTTGAAGTTGTTTTCCCAATAGTACCAGTTTATTCACATGAATGTTTTTGTAAGTTGACATGGGTAACTATAATTACCATAAAATATTTTGTCCATTGTTTTTATATAGTGATACCTAAATTATCCATTTGTCTTCCAATACTGTATTTAAACTTTATAGTGTCCTTGAATTTTCTTTTTCTAGTGTTTGGTATATAATTTAGAAAAATGAAGTGATAATGTATGTTGTTCTTTAAGCAGCTGTTTAGAATTAGGGGAAAGTACTTGAGTAGTTTTGAAATACTTGCATGTTATCTTAATTATCTACAACTAAGATTTTGTTAATTCTTAAATTACCTGCCAGCTTAATTCCTGAATTACTATAATAACTCTAATTAATAAATTCACATAAGCCAAGATGGGTAGCTTCCCCTTTCATATGGCTTGCTTCTGAGCAGCACTGGTTTTTTGTGGTGAAGACACTCTGAGTAAAAATCTCTTGCCTATCATGACATCATTAATACTCTAAAGTAGTGAGTGTTTCTCGACTTCAGCTATACATTGGAGTCACCTGGAGAGCTTTAACTACTAGAAAGGACTGGGTCCCAACCCCAGAAATTCTGATTTAATGTTCTGGTTCTCAGGAGTTTTAAAAGCTCCTCAGGTGATTCCAATATGTAGCCAAGATTGCAAACCACTGCTCTAAAACAGTGACTTTTAACCAGAATTACTTGGAGACTTTCTTTCTTTCTTTTTTTTTAAATACATTTCCTGGCCTTTCCTTTTGCGGTGACTAAATTAGAATCTCTGGGAGTAGGGCCTAAGCAATTATAAGTTTTAAAAGCTTCCTCAGGTGAATAATTAAGTTAATCTTTTAAAATTTTCATTAGCTTTTTTTAATGACCATTTCAAACATGCAGATAAATTAAAAGAATTGTATGATGAACACCTGTATGCCCACCGTCTAGATTCAACAAATGTCAGCTTTGTGTATGTGTCTGTATTTTTCCCTGAACCATTTCAAATAAACTGCAGGTGCAAATTCCACCATACCCAAAGTAGTTAACTACTTGAAACAGCCCTTCATGCACAGGGCCTAGAATATAGGACACATCTAGTAAATATTTACAGAATGAATAACTGAATTTAAAGATAAAGATAAACCTGAGAGTAAGAGTTAGCCTGATAGCTTTGTACATTTGATTGCTTCATATACTGTTACCCTTAATGTACATTTCTATGAGATGAACTGAGTTGCCCCCAACCCTTTCTCGGAAATCTGTACCTTTTAGTCTCATCCCCTCTAGGTTGTGTAAACACTAGTAAAATTCTCCAAAGCTGTCAACATTAACAACAGTTGTCGTGCTCTGCATAGCCTTTAAATGGCATTTCATACTGCCTCTCTTCCTCACCCCTTGGGTCTGACCCACTCCACAATATATGGAGGTTGCCATTTTCTCCAAATTTTTCTATCCTCACCTGATAACCAGAGGGATGATGAGATAGGTATCCAAAGGACCTATAACGTAGGAAAAAGATTGATTCCCTTTGAATGAAAGTGAGACCTGATAGATGAATCCAATCAAGGCAGAGAGGTAGAAAACAGATTGAAGGAAGGCTCTATTCTTGACTTAGTTTAATGACTGGTCATCAGTCATCAGTCAGTTGAAGACACTGAGGCCCCTTGGTCCTCAGGACAGGTCCAAAGAGATGTCAGGCAGTACACTACAGAGGGGAAGAATAGTTCTAACTTTCCTCACAGAATTATCTGAGATTGATCAAATGAACGCTTGTTCCTTACTAGCAGAGAACTTATAGACATCTCATGTGGTCATCCTCAGAATCATCAAGGCATGAGTTACGGCTCAGGGCTGGTCTACAATACTATTTTGCCAGGATAAACTCCAGGCAGCATAGAACCACCTTAACAAAACTGTTGCCAGTTCTTCTGTCTTGGGAGTTTTAAACTAGCCCCTTCTCACCAGGAACAGTAGTCTCTGAAAGGATGCCCATTTTCAAACAGAATCAAGGACATTTGATTTGCATTATGGGTGTGGCAACTTACACATAAAGTATTCTTCATCATACAGTAAATTCCTTGAGAGTAGGAACTATCTCTCACGGTTACAATCCTAGTGCCTACCAGATTCTGGCACAAAGTTTCCTGGCTGACTCATTCAATAAATATTTTCTGAGATTCTCAATAAATTTGGAGTTTAACTAAATGTAAGAATTTTTTTCTACCTCACTGCTATTTTTATATTGAAAGATAATGATTTTTAAATATTTCTATGAAATATTTCTAATGATGACTGTTTGCATAGGCATTGAAAGTACGGCAAGCAGATATCACCAGAGAGACCGTTCAGAAAAGTGTCTGTGTTCTAAGCAAGTTGGTAAGAGACGAAATAACTCATTAATGTGTTTGTTAAATATTCATGTCAGATTTTTACTTGAGAATAAGGCATTAGAATAAGGAGAGATTTATGGAAACAGTAATAGATTAAAATTCATTAGGGGCTCTTATCCTTGTGCATCTCCTCTTTCTCTTTGCCTTTCAGCAGTTTTACTCTCATTTGCACCTCTACCCACAACTAGATAAGACGAAGGAAATCTCCTAACTAGGTATTTGGAAAAGAGGTTGACACTTGACCAAAATGAGGTAGCTAATATATTTCATTAATCCATTTTTATTTTGTTTTTAAGACTTTGGATAAATAATATATTACTGTAACTCAAAATATAATCGCTCAGACTTTATTGATGATATAAAAGTACATGACTTTTGCTATGAAAAATTGTAACCTTAACTTGCTCTTTAAAAACTTAAAATTTGGGGACACCTGGGGTGGCTCAGTCAGTTAAGCGTCTGACTCGATTTCAGCTCAGGTCATGATCTCAGAGTTGTGAGGTTGAGCTCAGGGTCGGGCTCTGTGCTCAGCAGGAGGCCAGCTTGGGATTCTCTCACTCCCTCTCCCCACCGTGTGGGCACGCTCTTGCTCTCTCTAAAAAATAGATAAAATCTTGGGGCGCCTGGGTGGCTCAGATGGTTAAGCGTCTGCCTTTGGCTCGTCCTGGGATCGAGCCCCACATCGGGCTCCTGGCTCAGCGGGGAGCCTGCTTCTCCCTCTCCCTCTGCCTCTCTCCCTACTCATGTTCTCTCTCTCTCTATCTCTGTGTCTCAAATGAATAAATAAAATCTTTAAAAAAAAATAGATAAAATCTTTTAAAAGTTTTTGAGGAACAGAAATGACAATGAATTATACAATAACAATACTTTAAAATTGTTTCATCTATGTACAATTTGATCAGATGCAAGTGTATAATTTTAACTTTTTATTTTTTGAAGAAAATATAGAACATTTATTTTTCATAGCTCTTCGTTAAATCATTTGTAATTTTCCTTTTTATTTTTTTATTAATGGGAGAATAACACCTTTACCAATAACACCAAATGACTAATTCTACATGTAAATATAATCTCCCAAATCTCCTTTGTGGGGAAAAATCCAGATCTCTATCATATTAATTGTCTGATAGCGGTATGATTACTGAATACAAACATTTCTGCATTTAACCTAAATCAAAATGGAGAATATTTCATTTGCCTAGTCACCGCATGTATGTAGGTTTAATTATTTCTTCTGCATTGTCCAGTTTCTTTTATTTTTAGTTTTTAAGATCTTATCCATTTGAGAGAGAGTGAGCACGAGTGGTGGGGTGCAGAAGGAAAGGGGGAGAGAGAAACAGACTCCCCACTAAGCAGGGAACCCGACACAGGGCTCAGTCCCAGGACCCTAAGATCATGACCTGAGCTGAAGGCAGATGCTTAACAGACTGAGCCACCTAGGTGCCCCTGCCTTGTCCAGTTTCTTATATCCACAGACAATTTAAATGTAGTTTGCTTAATATATGTTGAATTTTGCAAAATAGGACTTATTTGGCTTTTACTACTAAGCTTAAAAAAATCCTGAATAGGGGCACCTGGGTGGCTCAGTTGGTTAAGCGGCTGCCTTCGGTTCAGGTCGTGATCCCAGAGTCTCGGGATCGAGCCCCATGTCAGGCTCCCTGCTCAGCAGAGAACCTGCTTCTCCCACTGCTCCTCTCCCCACTCGCTCGCTCGCTCACTCTCTTGCTCGTGCTCTTGCACTCTCTCAAATAAATAAAATCTTAAAAAAAAATTCTGGATAATAATAATTTATACTGTGGGCCTTAATAATAAGATATCGAGGGCGCCTGGGTGGCTCAGTCATTAAGCATCTGCCTTCGGCTCAGGTCATGATCCCAGGGTCCTGGGATCGAGCCCCGCATTGGGCTCCCTGCTCGACGGGAGGCCTGCTTCTCCCTCTCCCACTCCCCCTGCTTGTGTCCCTCTCTCACTGTCTCTCTCTCTCTCTCTGTCAAAAAAAAAAAATCTTCAAAAAAAAAAAAAAAAAAAAAGACTTTGAGGATCAGTTATTGCTTCCAAGATCACAATTTTAAATAGAGGGCAAGAATAGACTCCTTGAAAAAAAATAAGGTTGTAAAAGACCCCACTATCAGAACATTGGTAGATTGCACTTAGATAGTTTCTAGAAGGGTAGCCTGAAAAAGACACCAGTGAATACTTTTTTATACTGGGCCAGATGATGAGTATAGGAGTATCAGATACTAAAGCAAGTGTGACATGTTAAAAGACTTCCTGAGTAATCTTTCTTCAAAGAACAATTATAATAATAATAAATGCCATTCATCAGGTCCCTATATGTCAGGTGTTAATGCTATACCAGACACTTTTTAGATATAATTGTCATTTGAATCCTCATATAACAGTGAGATCTAAGTATTTATTGCTCTCATTTTACAAATAAAGATGTATGAGAGAAAAAATAACTCTCATAAACCTATTAAGTGATAAAATTGGGGGTGAAAATCCAGTTTTATCTGTCTTTAAACGCCATAGGGGATAGGGAGAGCTAGCTCACGCAAAAGAGTTTGGTGGTTCATAGTGCATTGTAGTCTTTATATATAAAATAAATGAAAATATATATAAAATATATATTTAAAATATATAAAATATTATTTTATACTTAGAACTTTAGATGGTAATAATGATATATTAACAGGGATATTGGTGGGGGGAGCTCTTCCGGTATTGTTTTAATTAAGAGTATATATACAGCATGGTCTCTGCATTCTAAGGACACAGAAATCAGGAAACATCTAGAAAAGAACACTGAAAATAAAGGATGGAAATAGTAGAAGAGGGTCTTAAATAAAAATAATTAAGGAATAATTTTGTTGAAGTATACGAAAGAACATTTTGATAGAGGACACAGACTAGTTGTTCCAAGCCTCCATAGAGGACAAAAAAGGGAAATGAACTTAAATTTAATTATGAATGTTCAACTAGATATAAGAACTGGCTGTTACAAGGATGATTAAGTGTCACCACAAACCAGCAGAACAGTGCAGAAATTAGAATGTTTTAAATTTTATAATAGCTAACGTTTAGGTGCTTTCCATGTGCCAGACACTCTAAGTGCTTTTACCTGTGTTACTTAGTTCTGGAAACACCATAAGATGTGCTGTCTTTTCATATGCCAGTGTTCACATCAGCAAGCAAATGTGGAGAGGTTCAGTGCCTGAGGTTATGTGGCCGAGTGATAGAGCAGATTCAGGGGGTCTGTGCCCACCTCTTAACCACTGTACTCCAAGTGTGTCAGGCTCTTTTCAACTGCAGCCTTAGAGCTGGAACAGGTGATAAAACAGCTTTTAGCTGTGGATAAAATACTAAAGTTGAAGTTAGTTTTTCTCCCTGTTCTTTCAGTTACAAAGTTGTAAGATGTTTGTTTTTTACTATTATCCAACTAATAGTATTTTTTTTTCTTTAAGCCTCTCTATGGCTTACTTCAAGCAAAACTTCAGCTCATTACACATGCATATTTTGAAGAGAAGGATTTTTCCCAAATTTCCATTCTAAAGGTAACTATATCCCTCTATAGATATATTTGGCTGAAAACAGATTCATGAATCAATTAATCTTGTCAGTAATATTTTGGAAGATAATCTTGTTAGCTTAAGAAAGACATTCTTCTTTGACAGTAACATTGACCCTACTATGATCCAGCAATTGCACTACTACTTATTATCCAAAGGATACATAAATACAGATTTGAAGGGGTACGTACACCCCAGTCTTTATAGCAGCATTATCAACAATAGCCAAACTGTGGAAAGAGCCCAAGTGTCATCAACTAATGAATGGATAAAGAAGATGTGGTATGAAATCTTGCCATTTGCAACAACATGCGTGGAGCTAGAGGGTATTATGCTAAGCAAAAGAAGTCAGAGAAAGACAAATACCATATGATTTCACTCATATGTGGAATTTAAGAAGCAAAAAAATGAACATATGGAAAGGGTGAGGGGAAAAAAGGGAGAGAGGGAAACAAACCATAAGAGACTTTTAAGGATAGAAAACAATCTGCTGAGGGTTGATGGAGGGAAGTGGGTGGGGGATGTGCTAGATGGGCGCCGGGTATATAGGAGGGCACTTGTGATGAGCGCTGGGTGTTGCATGTAAGTGATGAATCATTGAATTCTCCTGAAATCAATATTCCACTGTATGTTAACTAGAATTTAAATAAAAGTTAAAAAAACCCACAAAGATTTGCAAATTGAAAAAAAGAAAAGGAAATAACATTGAAAGGCAAAGGATTTGTCCAAAATGTACAGTTGATATTTATTAAATTTAACCAAACTTGGGTGGCGCCTGGGTGGCTCAGTCATTAAGCATTTGCCTTTGGCTCAGGTCATGGTCCCAGGGTCCTGGGATCGAGCCCCGCATCAGGCTCCCTGCTCCACAGGAAGCCTGCTTCTCCCTCTCCCACTCTCCCTGCTTGTGTTCCCTCTCTCACTGTGTCTCTCTCTGTCAAATAAATAAACAAAATCTAAAAAAAAAATAATGAATTTAACCAAACTGCCTTTTATTAGGAAATAATAACTACAAAGGACTATAATTAACATAAGTGTTTCTATTATTGGGTGGTAGCTCTTTTGCTATAGCATTGCTTCTCTAAATTTGCTTGTCTTATTAATATACTGCACAATATGTTATCAGTCTTCTGGTTCCAATCAAAAAACAAAACAAGGGCTCCTGGGTGGCTCAGATGGTTAAGTGTCTGCTTTCGGCTCAGGTCATGATCCCAGGGTCCTGGGATCGAGTCCTGCATCGGGCTCCCTGCTTGGCGGGGAGCCTGCTTCTCCCCCTGCTTCTCTCTCTCTCTGTCTCTCATGAATAAATAAATAAAATCTTAAAAAAAAAAAAAAACAACAAAACCAGACTATATGACTGTTTTACTAAAGATGGATAGCATGTTTTTCTTTGGGCTGCCACGAACGTATGGAACACGGATCTCTCCTGGATTTTAGTGAGTATAGGACAATTAGGTGTTTAGCAAGAAAGTAGAGGGAACTTAGCCTAGAATCCATACCACCATGTGAGTGAACTAAGCTTTAAAATGAAGAGGAAGAGAAGGAGGGAATGCCAGAAACTGGTAAGGTTTCAGAGAGACCTTCATTGTTACTGGCGAAACAAACTGCCTCAGTTAACCAATTTTTTCCTGGTCATCATACTTCTAATTTAGTGTCTGAAATGATTGTAAAGTGTTCTAAATTGAATTTATATTTTATAGGAGCTTTATGAGCATATGAATAGTTCCTTGGGAGGAACTTCATTAGAAGGATCCCAAGTATATCTTGGTAAGTAGCTTTTCTACAAATCAGAAGAAATGCCCTCATTTCTTCCCGTTTGGTAAACCGAGTTGCATGTAAAACTTCATAAAGTTAAATTTCTGTATGGGATCTAAATTTAAATTCTTCAATGTTTGATGTTCTGTTCCCTTACATATCTTTTTAGCCAGTATTTCTATTGAGAAAGGTTATAACATAATTGTAGCAGTATTTAGAACTATTATTGAATAATAACAGAAGTTTTTTCTTTTTCTTATGATAGGGCTGCCCAGGTCAATTCCCTGTTAAAACAGAGAGGAAGAGCAAGAGAGAGAGATTTGCTCAGCTCTTTTCTATCCTAAAATTTTTCAAGTTGGGGGTTTTGTTTGATTTATACTGTTTTGATAATCCAGAATATTCATTGGTGTCCAAGGTACTCAATAGGCCCTCAGTAAACATCCTTTTCATGATAAGAAACTAATAAAGTAGCCATTAGCCTCATGTGGCTATTTACATTTAGATTAGAATTAATAAAAGTTAAATGAAGTTAAGTCATTTTGTCAATACATTTGGTACATTTCAAATGTTCATTGGTCACATGTTTAGATTTAGAACATTTCCATTATTGTAGGAAGTTCTTTTGGACTATGCTGTCTTTGACCGTGTTAACAGTTATTTGATAAATTCCAAGTATATGTGTACATAATCAAGTATTACGTAAATATTTTAATATTTGCATATTCTTACTATTCCTATTTTTACCTGCCTTTCCTTTGATGGGAACAAACTTTCTTTGACAAAACCCATAGGTTGTCATCACAGATTAGCTTTTTTGTTAATGTTGTAGGTCTATCTCCTCGAGATCTTGTGCTTCATTTTCGACACAAGGTATGATACCTTATTTAATTTATAACGTACTAAAATTGTGTTCATTTAACTGAGCAAATTATGCTACAAGGTCCAATACAGATTGTGGCATACCATATTTTAGTTCTTCTAAGACTGTTCTCATAATGATAAAAGTTGAAAACGTTGGTAGAGCTTATAGAAGTTTTTAAAAGTATAGGAATACTGTCTATTTCTGTGCAGAAGAGGATACTTCTTCTGTTGTCTTTGTAATTTCAGATGTCATGAAATTAGAGTGGAAAGGAACATGTTTTAATCTTGCAGTAGTTTATATGTTGCTCTGAGAGTGAAACATTTTCTAATAAAATATCTATACTTATGTCTTCTGATCTTTATTATTAAACATATGTTGACTGGGACATACATTAATCATTCATGTGTACACATTTATTGAGTATCTGCTGTGTGAACGCCCTGGACATCCAGAAACAAATGAATAGTGCCTGCCCTTGAAGAAGATTGCAGATATTTCAAGCAAAAATGACATAACTCCTTCCAAAAAGCATAATTTGTTAGAGATTTAAGTGGTTCTTAATTAATTTTTAATTAATGGATTTTAATTAATTTTAATTTTTTAATGGATTTTAGTGGTTCTAATTTTTAATTTTTCAGTATAAGTTCATAATTTTCGATGTAGTTTTAAGCACTATAGTTAATATTATTGATTAAATGATATATGGTTATGTTTGAGGAAGGGAAAAGGCAAATGAATAATAGGCTTGAGTTTATTTTAATACAGTATTTTTTCTTTAGGTCTTAATCCTGTTTAAACTAATTCTTCTTGAAAAAAAGGTGAGATTTGAAGGATTGGAATATTTAACATGTGTTGACATTTTTAAAACATTTTTTATTATGTTAATCACCATACATTATATGTGTTAAGAGGGGGAAAAAAAGAAGATAGCAGGAAGGGAAGAATGAAAGGGGGAAATCAGAGGGGGGGAGACGAACCATGAGAGACGATGGACTCTGAAAAACAAACTGAGGGTTCAGGAGGGGAGGGGCTGGGGGGGTGGGTTAACCTGGTGATGGGTATTAAAGAGGGCACATTCTGCGTGGAGCACTGAGTGTTATGCACAAACAATGAATCATGGAACACTACATCACAAACTAATGTGTTGACATTTCTTAAATACTGTATAAAATTAAAACGAATGGTAAAGTATAAATGAAGATTTTTTTTGCCTGTCATATTTTGTAGACTGAAGCACATATTCTTGTTCACTACCACAGAAGTATAAATTTGTGTAGTCTTTTCTAGGGGCAATTTGACAGTAACCAATTTAAACAGACTTAAATAATAATGAAATGTATTGGGTTACTGCAGACTTCATGGCTGATTGAATGGTTCTACGGTATAATTAAGTATTGAGATTTTTTTCCATCTCTTTGCTCCACAGTCTGCAGTGCTAGCTTTATCCTGTGCCTGGTTTCCCTTGTAGTGTAGGTTAACTGCCAACAATAATTGGTCTGTATGCTCTCTCAGTTATAACTGGTGGTAGAGGGGTGTCTGGGTGGCTCAGTCGGTTGAGTGTTAGACTCTTGGTTTTGGCTCAGGTCATGATCTCAGGGTTGTGAGATCCAGCCCTGGGTTAGGCTCCATGCAGAGTGGGGAGTCGGCTTGAGAGCCCCTCCCACTGCCCCTCCCCTCACTGGCGCATGCTCGCTCTCTCTCTAAAATAAATAAATTGGGGTGCCTGGGTGGCTCAGTCAGTTAAACAGCCAACTCTTGATTTCGGTTCAGGTCGTAATCGCAAGGTCATGGGATCTAATCCCCCTGTTGGACTCTGTGCTTAGCACAGAGAGTCTGCTTGTCCCTGTCCCTCACCCTCTCTCTCTGTACCTCCCCCTGCTTGCTAGCACACGCTCTCTCTCTCTGAAATAATAAAATCTTCAATCGATCATTAAAATCTTAAAAATAATTGGTGGTGTTGGTGGTAGAAATAATACCTATTCCTAAACCATTTAATAAGAATCTTCCTTTGCAATTTGTTTAAACCCATGAGGCCGTGTGCCTGGAGTGAACAAATAATTGTTGCTAAAGAAGTACATAAACTAGTTGGTTTAAACTTGGGTTCCAGACCACTCTCTAGTACAAAAAGATTGGATTGCCACGATTTTAGACCACGGGTGTACAAACTAGGCCCCAGGGCCAAATCTGGCCCACCATCTATTTTTATAAAGTTTTATTGAAACACAATTATGCCCATTCATTTACTTACTGCTTATGGCTGCTTTTGCACTATAGGGGCAGAGTTGAATAGTTGTGACAGAGACCATATATATCGCCTGCAAAGGAAGGATTCTTAGTATTATAGGAAAAGTTTGCTGACCTCTGGTTTAGACTAATCAGGAGCTGCCCTTGGATCTGGGGCCAGTTTTATATACCATATTACTGTGCTGGTGGAGTAGGGGTGGAATAGATGTTCTAAAGTCAGCCATTTATAATGTCCAGTATGGTTTGTTACCTTAAAAATATTTATTCCTGGGGCGCCTGGGTGGCTCAGTCGTTAAGCGTCTGCCTTGGGCTCAGGTCATGATCCCAGGGTCCTGGGATCAAGCCCCGCATCAGGCTCCGTGCTCTGTGGGAAGCCTGCTTCTCCCTCTCCCTCTGCTTGTGTTCCCTCTCTCCCTGTGTCTCTCTCTGTCAAATAAATAAAATCTTTAAAAAAAAATATTTATTCCTTTGACCCAGTAGTTTTCTTAGAGCTTTATTTTCCAGAATTAATGTGAGTTGGATATAAAGTCCACCTAAGACATTCTGTCACAGAATAATTTATAATAATGAATTATCAGTGAATAAGTACTGGTTCATCTTGTATATTGTGTATAATTCCAAATGACTAAAGAGATTGAGATTTTTTTTATTGTTGTAAAGATGTTTCATTGAATGTTAAGTGAAAGTTTATCAAAGTACATATCAAGCCCATGATCCTAATTTTATAAATAAATATATATTCATTAAAAAGAGACTGGAAGGAAAGATATCAACAGTTTTTGTTTTGTTTTTAAAGATTTTATTTATTTGACAGAGAGCACAAGTAGGCAGAGCGGCAGGCAGAGGGAGAGGGAGAAGCAGGCTCTCCACTGAGCAGGGAGCCCGATGCGGGACTTGATCCCAGGACCCTGGGATCATGACCTGAGCTGAAGGCAGACGCTTAACGACTGAGCCACCCAGGTGCCCCAGATATCATCAGTTTGAGAATATAGGTTATATTTTTATTTATTAAAGATTTATTTACTTACTTACTTAGAGCGTGAGCAGGGGGAAGGGCAGGAGAGGGGGAGAGAAAGAATCTCAAGCCAACTCCGCACTGAGCTCGGAGCCCGACACAGGGCTCGGTCTCAAGACCCCGAGATCATTTTCTGAGCCAAAACCAGAGTCAGTCACTTAACTGACTGAGCCACCCAAGTGACCCTAGGTTATATTTTTAAGAAGGAAATACTTTTCTAGTTTTCTGTAATGAATATGTATTTCTTCTTCAAAGAGAAACATGTAATTTTTAAAATGAATGAATCTAACATACCATATGTGCAATGTTATAACTTTTTAAAGTTTTTAATTGTAAAATACACAAGACACATAATTTACCATCTTAACCAGTTTTTAGTGTGTAGTTGAGTAGCATTAAGTACATTCACATTGTTGTGCTATTGTCACCATCCATTCACAGACTCTTCATTGTGCAAAACTAAAACTGTACCTATTAATACAGTAACTCCCCATTTTCCCCTCCCCACTGACAGCGACCCTTCTACTTACTGTGTCTATGAATTTGGCTATTGAGTTCCTTATACAAGTGAAATCATGCTGTATTTGTCTTTTTGTGACTGGCTTGTTTTACTAAGCATAGTGTCCTCAAAACTGATCCATGTATAACGTGTCAGAATTTCCTTCCTTTTTAAAAAGGGCTAAGTAATATCCATTGTATGTATGTACCAAATTTTTTTTTCCCTTTGTCCTTTGATGGACACTTGGGTTGCTTCCACCTTTTGGCTTTCATGAATAATGCTGCTATGAACGTTGGTATGCATACATTTCTTCAAGACCCTGCCTCCAACTCTTTTGGGTGTATACCCAGAAGTGGTATTGCTGGACCAGATGGTAATTCTATTTTTAATTTTTTTTTTTTTTAGTAACCACCATACTGTTTTACATAGTGGCTGCACCATTTTACCTTCCTGTCAACAGTGTGCAAGGATTCCAGTGTCTCTACATCCTTACCAACACTTGTTGTTTTTTAGTTTTTTGACAGTAGCCATCCTAATAGGTGTGAGGTGGTATCTCCTGGTTTTGATTTGCATTTCCCTAATGGTTAGTAATGTTGAGCACCTTTTCATGTGCTTGTTGGTCATTTGTATGTCTTCCTTGAAGAAATGTCTGTTAAAGTCCTTTGCCCATTTTAATCAGATTTTTTGGGTTTTTTTTTTTTTACTTGTTGAGTTGTAGGTTTCAAACTTTGTTATTGCAGTTCATAATGAAAAGTATTTTACATTGCAACCCAGGGCACACATAGATATATGTATCTGAAACAAAAGTCTCCCAAAATAGTACTTAGCCTAGCTACATGTAGTGGCATTTATGATCGTATAACTTTATCTAATGTGGCAGATCACAGGTACACTCTTTTGATATTGAATTGATGAAATAAGGATGTCCTTTAATGCAACACTTGGTTTCTCTGTACTTGGAAAGCACTCCTTAAGTAAGATCATCTATAAGGAAAGCATAGACAATTGTGGGTGCCATGCTCTGTCAAATAGCACTTCAGTGTCACTAAATGATTTAATTGTTTAAAAAAAAACTCACCTAAGCAAATCTTTGCTTGTTTTTTCTTTTCTTTTTTTTTTTTTTAAAGATTTTATTTTATTTATTTGACAGAGAGACAGTGAGAGAGGAAACAAGCAGGGGGGGTGGGAGAGGGAGAAGCAGGCTTCCCACAGAGCAGGGAGCCCAATGCGGGGCTCAATCCCAGGACCCTGGGACCATGACCTGAGCCGAAGGCAGATGCTTAACGACTGAGCCACCCAGGCTCCCCTTTGCTTGTTTTTTTCAACTAATTTAATGATTACCAAGTGTTGCCTTTAAACATCTAATCCTGTTTCTGATTTTTTTCTCAAGTTTTATTCTGAAAAAATGTCAAACCTACAGAAAAGTTGATAGAATACTATAATGAACTTTTACACACTTGATCTGTATTGACGATTAACATTTTGCCACTTTTGCATTATGTAGCTTTATATATGTTCATTTCCCCCCTCCGAGTCCTAATAATTTTAAAATCATGGTATTTTACCCCTAAACTTTAGGATATATTTTTTTCCTTTCTTTTAAAGATTTTATTTATTTATTTGAGAGAGAGCGACTAGAACAAGTGAGGAGAAGCAGGCTCCCCGGAGAGGCAGGCTCTGCGCTGAGCAGGGAGTCTGACATGGGGTTCCATCCCAGGACCCTGGGATCAAGACCTGAGCCAAAGGCAGATATTTAACCAACTGAGCCACCCAGGCGCCCCAGGATGTATTTCTTAAGAATAAGAGTATATTCCCATGTAACCAAAATACCATTTTCACATTCAAGAAATGCAGTCCATTTTCACATTTCCTCGGGTGTTATAATAATGTCCTATAAACTGGTTGTTTCGTTCACTCTGGGGACCAAGGATCATGTATTGCCTTATAGTTCTCTTTAATCCTTTAATCTCAAACTGCTCTACCACCTTGCTGTTTTTTTGGTTTCTTTTTGTTTTTCATGGCATTGGCTTTTTTTTTTTTTTAAAGAATACAAACAAGTTTTAAGATTAGATTTTTCCGATTATTTTCTTTTGGCTAGTTTCAGATTAAACTTTTTTGGCAAGAGTACTATACAGGTGTGTCCTTCTCAGAGTTATCATACCAGGAGGTCCATAACTGTCTGTAGTATTATTGGTGATGTGAAACTTGATCATTTGATTAAAGTGGTAATCCCCAGATTTCTTCATAATTAGGTACTTGTGTTTCTCTTCGCAACTAATAGCTAATCTGTGGGATGATATATTTGAAGCTATGTGAATATCCTGTTGCCCAGCAACCTTTCATAGTAGTTTTAGCTTCCATTGGTAATTTTTAACTGAATCATGGTAGATGCTTGGTGATTTCTTTGATTCTTTCATTAGTGCCATATTAGCTGTTACTCTTCTGTAAAGAAGTAGTTTTCCTTCTCTATATCTCTCCCCCCCCCCGCTTTTTTTATTTTGTAGACTCATGGATTTTCTAATTTAATTTTGATTTAATCCATTTCAGGTTCTCTTTTATATTTCTCCAGTGAATAAATTGGTGGGTGCCCTGATGACTGTGTTATCCCTTTTCCCAGGTAAGAGGTTAACAGTATGTACTCATTCTTTCATTTAACTTGTACTGGAACTTTGATAAAAAATTTTAAGGATAAACTTGCTACAGATAACATTTCTATTTTAACATGGTTTTCTTTTGGCATTGGGTTTCTCTGTTTTGTATGATATTTTTCTTTTTTTTAATTAAAACGTGTGCAAGCATAACTTACTAAAATTTTTGTAGGAGAGTTCTAGTTAGAATGGAATATGCAACTTTTATCTTTTCCCACCTTATTGTAAGCCAAGCTGTTCTCCAATATTGTATGTTGTAGGCATGATTGAACATGGTCTCAGTGACTGTTCTCAGTACAGACCCCGAAAGAGTATGTCTGAAGATGCTGGGCTTCACGAAAGCAATCCCCCTGCAGATGATTTTATTTCTGTGTCTGCTCCCGACATTTCAAATACCAACTCAGGAACTGTTAAGAAAATCATGACAGGAAACCATGGAGGAGATGCTGGCATCAATACTGAAGAACCGTTGCTCCAAGTAGACGATGACAGCAGCAAAGGACAGGAACCCAATGAAACCAGTCAATATTTGAAACCTCCTTCTCGCCCATCTCCAGAGTCTTCAGAAAGTGAATGGGAGACCTTGGATCCTAGCGTCTTAGAGGACCCCACCTTGAAAGAAAGGGAACAGGTGGGGTCAGAACAGACAAACTCTTTTCCAAAGGAGTCTGTGCCCTCAGACAGTCCTCCGATTACTGTACAACCTCAAGCTAATACGGGCCAGGTGGTCCTGATACCAGGGCTAATTTCCGGTTTGGAAGAAGACCAATATGGCATGCCCCTGGCCATCTTCACAAAGGTAAAGTTTAGTGTTTGCTACTTTTTTTCAAAGATTTCTTTGTTAGTGCACATACGAATGGGGAGAGGGGCAGAGAGAGAGAATCTCGAGCAGACTCTCCACCGAGCCAGGACCCCAGTGTGGGGCTCGATCTCACAACCCTGAGATCATGACCTGAGCCAAAATCAAGAATTGGATGCTTAACCAACTGAGCACCCAGATGCCCCTAGTGTTCCTTATTGAGACCCTTAAAGAATCTGACCATCCTGGGAGCCTGGGTGGCTCAGTTGGTTAAGCGACTGCCTTCGGCTCAGGTCATGGTCCTGGAGTCCCGGGATCGAGTCCCACATCGGGCTTCCTGCTCAGCAGGGAGTCTGCTTCTCCCTCTGACCCTCTTCCCTCTCGTGCTTTCTATCTCTCATTCTCTCTCTCTCTCAAATAAATAAATAAAATCTTTAAAAAAAAAAAAAAAGAATCTGACCATCCTTAAGATTTATTTATTTTTCTGAGAGAGAGAGTAGGTGGAGGGGCAGAGGGAAATAATCTTCAAGTAGACTCCCCACTGAGCGTGGAGCCCAACATGGGGCTCAATCTCACCACCAATGAGATCATGGCCTGAGCTGAAACCAAGAGTTGGACGCTCAACTGACTGAGCCACACAGGTGTCCCCTGACAACCCTTTTAGAATTTAACTTGGCAGTGTTGAACACATTTTCAGGTCTGAAAATTTTCCCTGAAAACTATAAAATACAATAATGTATAGTGCTATGGTTATCTGTGACCTTAGTGTCACATATGCCAGGTAACATACTAAATTCTATATTCTTATATCCATGATCTTGCAGTCTACCGTGAAAGACAGATACATCTTTCTGGTAACTAGAGCACAGTTTTATGGTTTTCTCTGAATACTGTCCTTTATGCATGAAGTAAGACTTTATGTGGAAAAGAAAGATGGGTAGGGTTGATTGGAACATGTATTTCTTCCTCTATGATAAATTCTTTCTGGGTTTATCCAGCTTTAAAATAAGTATTTGCCCCAAGTCAGTATTGATGAATAGTTAACAGAGAATGCTTTGTTCATTTGTGGCCTGCTGGGAGATTCTGAAATTATCTTAATTTGTTTTATGATTGAACTAATGCACAGTTTCTTAAAACTGGGATTTAGAAACCTAGGGAGAAAACTCAGGACTCTCAAACTGCTGCTTATGGTTAGTAGCCGCCAGTTACAGGTTTTCTGAACTCACATGTGGGTGTTAGGACTACCTGTACTTGTTGAAGCTTTACCCACCCACCCTCCAATTTTTATCATGTGGAGCTATTAGGGCGATTAACTTGGGAGGGATTTTATTTTTGTCTGTGAGGTTGCTAAATTAAAGCAATGTAAACATTTTGGTGGCTGCCTATAAACCATGTTTGGCAGAATATTCTATTTGTGTGCATTATACCACTACTGAATGTATGATGGACTTACCACCATCATTATGGTAAATAAAATGTTTTTCTTTTTGGTTTTATGTTTTATTATGTACTGATTAAAATCTAATTTGTTATTCAATCATAGTTGTAAATACAAGTGCTGATTCTTTTTTGTCATTAACTTTGGAGTATGAAATATTTCTTTTTTAATTGAAATATAGTTGACACAGTATTCTTAAAAGTGAATCATCTTTAGGCTTTTTTTTTTCTTCTCTTGAAGATCATAAAGGACTTAATACAGAAGAAATTAGGTTAGCCAAACAGCTTAAAAGTAATTTTAAAAATAGAAGTTAGGGGGCGCCTGGAGAATATTGTTGAAGGTAGGATATTGAGCCTTGGAGAGAATAAGCTGACTGGTCCCCTGATTCAGTGTATGAATAAATAGAAACAAATTTATACATCATAAAACATTTAAGTCTAGAAGAGATGCTCCAGCTCTCCAGCTTTTCCAGTCTTCTCTCTGGTACTTGAAATTACTGGAGGATGATGCCTTTCATGTCAGTTTTAGAATGAGCCTTACTGAGTGCTGTAGATACCAGATGCTAAAATATGCTGGAACCTATCCTGAGAGCTGATTTAGGAAGTGTAGGGAAGAAACTGGGGTGCAGAGGGGAGAGGAAATGGGACTGGAGGCAACTTTCGGGTACAGTGTCCATAAGGTGAAGGGAAGGAACTAAGGGAACCAAAGGAGGAGGAGGAAAATTAGAAAACTCTCCTATGTGGTATGTGTGCTCTGCTGGGCTGTACCACTTTAGAACCAGAGAAGTGTTGGAGAATGAGGGAAATGGAAAAAAGCAAAAGAGGAAGTTCGGGTAGCTATTTTCAGATGTGGAAGAGTCCTGAAAGCTTTTCTTAGGTCTTTCCCTGATTTTAAATCTTCCTGCCTTACTACTGAAAGAGTCCTGGAATTGGCCACACACTGGAGCAAAGCAGTTACAGCAGGACCAGCCAGAAGGCTTAGAGCCCTGGGAATTAAGGTTCCCACTTGTTTTAATCTCATGAGTCTGCTTCTGCCTCCTTTCTTCCAGTTATGAGGCAGTATTTATTATTTGGTAAAAATTAGTTGGATCTTACCATAAATGAAACTCTGATGAAAAGTCACTTCAATTGAAGTAACTCTTAACTGAATAAAAGGATTTTTATTTTTAGTATCTGAGGGATAGGGAAGATGATTTTAGGCAGACACTAAAAAAATTATTTTTGAATTTTTTACTTTTTTTTTTTTTTAAAGATTAGCTTCTTAGTTTTGGTGTTTTGGTTTTTGTTTTTAAAGATTTTACTTAGCAAGAGTGCGAGTGGAGGGGGTGGGTGAGGAGCAGAAGGGGGAGGGAGGGGGAAAGAATCTCAGGCAGACCCTGCACTTAGTGTGGGGCCCCACGTGGGTCTCGATCCCATGACCCTGAGAGTATGACTTGAGCCGAAACCAAGAGTCAGATGCTCAACCAACTGAGTCACTGAGGTGCCCCAGTTTTGTTTTGTTTTTGTTTTTTTGGTTTTTTTAATTACATATATCTGATACCTTTGGTGTTTTAAATAAATGTCTCCATAAGAAGATCACTTAATTTAGAAATCTTAATTTCAGTTTGTAACTTTTTTAGTAAAACAATAAAGTTATGAAAAAATTAAAAATAAATGTAGTTAGAAACCAGAATTTTTGATCTGCCACATTTATTAATCTTTTAAGTATTGCTTCTGAGTTTATATTTGGTTTGCTTGCTTGCAGCTTGTCATTTTCTTTCTTTTTTCTTTTTTTTTTAAGATTTTATTTATTTATTTGACAGAGAGGGAGAGAGACAGCAAGAGAGGGAACACCAGCAGGGGGAGTGGGAGAGGGAGAAGCAGGCTCCCCGCTGAGCAGGAAGCCGGATGTGGGGCTCGATCCCAGGACCCTGGGACCATGACGTGAGCCGAAGGCAGACGCTTAACAACTGAGCCACCCAGGCCCTTCCCCCCCACTTTTTTTTTTAAAGATTTTATTTATTTATTTGACAGGGAGAGAGACAGCGAGAGAGGGAACGCAAGCAGTGGGAGTGGGAGAGGGAGAAGCAGGCTCCACGCAGCCCGGCAGCTTGTATTTTCAAATTTAGGTTATCAAAGCTACCTTGATTGGCTAGCCAAAAAATTATGGATGCATGTTTATGAATCTTATTTAAGTGGAACCACAAATTTTTTTTCTGACATAGTTTTTAGTTTCATTCATGTTTTTGCATAATACTGTATATTGTTCTATGTAGTTTTCCATTTTCAGCTGTTGTGCAGCTTATCAATTGTGTGGATGGACATCTGCACTGTTGCCAATTTCTGGCTATACAAATAATGCTGCTGTGAAATTCTTTTTCAGGAGTCTTGCTAGACACATGCCAGAGTTTCTATAGCATTCAGTACCTAAAAGCAGGAATACTGGATCATGTGGAATGGGTGCTTTCAACTTAACTAGAATTCCCAGTTTACTGAAGTGGTTCTGACAATTTCCACCATTCCCACAACAGGGTATGAGTTCCCAGCTGCTCAGCATTCTCACCAACACTTGATATCATCAGACTTCTTAATACTTAGCCAATTTGATAATATCTTGTGGCTCTTGGTTTGCATTTTTTTCAGTAATTATTGTTGAGATTGAACAACTTTCCATACTCTTCTTAACCATTTGGATTCCCCTTTGTGTATTTGTTCAAAACTTCTAGATTGTCCTCCTTGTCACTGATTTGTGGGACTTCATATATTCTAAATACTTTTTCTGTTTTATCATTTTTTACTTTATGGTTAGTGCCTTGGAGGTCATATTTAAGCAGTCCCCCCTACCTTGAGGTCCTAGGTTATCTTTTAAAGCTATATAGTTTTGACTTTCACAATTTGGTTTTTATTAACTGGAATTAATCTCTGTGTATGTTTGAGGAAGGAGTCTTTCTGGACTCTTTCTTGTTGTTTCATTGATATTGTAGATTTGTATATTTGTCCATCCTGGGGCAGTTCCCCCCTGTATGTATATCCTATCAGGCAGGAAAAAGGCTTTGCCTCTTGTTAACTGATCTTTAAGCATTTCTTAGCCCTTTTCATTTCCACATCATTTTAGGATCAATTTAAGTTCTCACACGGGTTGAGATTTTGATAGGGATTACCTTTAAAGCCCAGATAACTTGTGGAGAGAAGGGACATCCCTATAACAGGGAGGCTTCCATTTCATGAACATGTTTATCATCCCTGACCGGAGGAGAGGTGAGAAAATGGCATCCAGTCCTGATCACACTGTAACCCTTTCCAAGGCACAAGAGAGAAGGCACACTGTGCTTTTGCAGCTCTTTAGCAGATTAGCTCATGACAGATTTGCTAGATTTACCAAGCTGAGGTGTGGGTTTTTTGTTTTTTAGTTGCGGTTAAAAAAATGTGTGTGGGGGGGGTTGTATAAAATTTACCCTGTTTACCATTTTTTTTTAAAGGGGGGAAGGGGCAGAGGGAGAGGGAGGGAGAGGGAGAGAGAGAATCTTAAGCAGGCTCCACGCCCAGTGAATTAGCCAGACACAGAGCTCCATCTCGTGACCCTGAGTTCATGACCTGAACCAAAAGCAAGAGTCAGCCATTTAGCTGACTGAGCCACCCAGACGCCCCACCCTGTTTACCATTTTTAAGGTGTACAGTTTAGTAGTGTTAAGTTACGTTCACATTGGTGTGCTGTAGATCCGAAGTTTCTCATCTTGAACTGAAACTCTATAACCATTAAACAATAACTACCCATTCCCCCTACCCCTGGACACCACCCTTTCTGTTTCTATGAATTTAACAACTCTAAACACCTTTTTAAGTGGAATCATACATTATTAATCTTTTTGTGACTGGCCTGTTTAACTTAATATAATGTTCTCAAGGTTCATCCATGCTGTAACATACGTCATTTCCATCCTTTTCAAGGCTGAATAATATTCTGGTGTATGTATATATCACACTTTGTTTATCCATTCATCTGTTAATGACATTTGGGTTGCTTCCACGCTTTGGCTGTTGTGAATGCTGCTGCTTTGAACATGGGTGTGCAAATACTGTTTCAGGCGTTTTTTGGGTTTTTGTTTTGTTTTGTTTTTTTTACTATTATATACTACAGCTCCAAATATGGAAATTAAAGTACCCTAGAAAAGTGAAAAGTCAGAAGTGGGCTTGGGTATGGAGGCTGTTTTATGTGAAAGGACCCAGGCTCTTGCTGCTACCATACAATAAGGAACTTTAAAAAAATTTAGGAAAAATAGCTCATCATTAAAAGTATGACACAGGACTTCTGGGTGGCTGAGTCGGTTGGGTGTCTGCCTTTGACTCAGGTCATGATCCCGCGGTCCTGGGATCAAGCTCCACATTGGGTTCCCTGCTCAGTGGGGAGTCCACTTCTCCCTCTCCCCCTCCCCCTCCCCCTGGCTCATGCTCTCTCTCTCTCTCTCTCTCTCAAATGAATAAATAAAAATCTTTAAAATATATATACACTACAATTTTTTAAAAAAATAACTGACATAATTTTAAGGCCATTTTGAACTCTTAATTTTATAAATATGTAATACTTTTGGGGTGCCTGGATGGCTCAGTCGTTAAGCCTCTGCCTTGGGCTCAGGTCATGATCCCAGGGTCCTGGGATTGAGTGCCACATCGGGCTCCCTGCTCCACGGGAAGCCTGCTTCTCCCACTCCCCCTGCTTGTATTCCCTCTCTTGCTGTCTCTCTGTATCAAATAAATAAATAAAATCTTTAAAAATATATATATATATACGTAATACTTTCACATGGCTCAATATTCAAAAGATTCTAAAGCATCTATAAAAAAAAGTCTCCCTCTTATTCCATCCCCTGCTACTCAGGTGCCCTCTCCTCCAGTGGTAACCAGCATTATCAGTGTCTTCTGTTTCTCTCTGGGGGTATTTTGTACATACACAAATGTGTAGATATTTTCCCCCTCCTTTTATACACAAATGGTAGCAGACTATTCCCCACTTTTTTTTTTTTAAGATATTTATTTATTTGCCAGAGAGAGAAAGCGCAAGTAGGGGGAAGGGGCAGAGGGAGAAGCAGGCTCCCCGCTGAGCAAGGAGCTGGATGCAGGACTCGATCCCAGAACCCTGGGATCATGACCCAAGCTGAAGGCAGGCGCTTAACCCACTGAGCCACCCAGGCATCCCTCCCTACTTTTATACACCTTATTCTTTCTTACCAAATATTCCTTGGAAGTTAATTTCATCACTATTGCTGCTGGATGTTCCATTGTACAGATGAGCAATTTATTCAGTTCCCCACTCATGAATAGTTAGAATTCCAATCTTTTGCTATAATAATGCAATAAATAACTCTTTACAAATCTCACACATGAGCAGGTGTACCTGGATAAATTATAAGAAGTAGAATGCTGGTCAAAGAGCATATATATAGTTTTTTAAGAAATGTAATTTTTTATATTTTTAAAGTGTTGATTTTTAAAAACATACTTCTTAGTTTTTGTGCTGTTATAACATATAAAGAACATTCAATATTATAATATTTATGTTTAGAAATAGGTACCTGGGGGGCAAGGAGAGTCTATTGTTTTTTTTTATTATTTTTAAGATTTTATTTATTAGAGCACGAGAGGGAAGAGGGTCAGAGGAAGAAGCAGACTCCCTGCCGAGCAGGGAGCCCAATGTGGAGCTCGATCCCGGGACTCCAGGATCATGACCTGAGCCGAAGGCAGTCGCTTAACCAACTGAGCCACCCAGGCGCCCGGGGAGTCTATTGTTTTTCAATACATAGCTCACAAAGTAAAGCATGAACCCTGAGCCTTAAAGCAGCTGAGTGATGCTGAATGAAGAGCGCGGGGGTCCTTTCAGTCTTTAGTCCCAAGAGGGGCGTGGGTTGAGAAGCACTGTACTGAGTATCTCTAATGCATAGACACGGGTTTATTTTTTTTTTTATGATTTTATTTATTTATTTGACAGAGCACAAGTAGGCATAGCGGCAGGCAGAGGGAGAAGCAGGCTCCCCACCAAGCACAGAGCCCGATGTGGGGCTCTATCCCAGGACCCCGGGATCATGACCTGAGCCAAAGGCATAACCGACTGAGCCACCCAGGCACCCCGACATGGGTTTATTTTTGCTGCCTCTATTGGTTAGCGTTTTATTGAACAGGGAAAGATACTGTCAAGGAAAAGAATAAAACCAGGTTACTGGACCTGTCTTCCAACTTTTGGAAGTCTTCTCTCCCATATTAAGTATTTAACAATCACCTGTTAGGTACAACGCATGTTCCTGGATACAGTGAAGAACATGAAGTAGCAAAAGAGATGTCTCCTACACTCACAGAGATTTGTCTCGTGGTATAAATAACACATCATCCAGAGAATGTTATCTAGTTCAGTGGTTTGTTTTTTTCTTAAGTGATAAGAAATAAAAAAAAATAAAATTGTCACAGGACTTGAGATTGAAAACAAGGTCAGGGGTTCAACAAGTGTGCCCTCCTGGCTGCATATACAAGTTGTACCACCTATTGGAAATATGTCTTGATTTAGAATCTTCCAACAGAAGTGCCATATCCTCCTTCATTGCATCTTTGAAGTGTTAACATCTTTATTCTCGGGAAATATGCTGCTTTTTGTACACTTAATTGCCTGCTGTGGTTTGGCAATTCAACTATAATTTTCAGGGCAGTATTTTCAAATACAGTTCAAATAGAAGTTAAATATACAGCTATTGCTAGTGTCTTTTTTTTTTTTTGCCTTAAACATTTAAAAGCAAATGTCTTGAAATATTTTTGTATGATTTTTAGCAATAGGGCAATAAAACAAATGCCATGCAGTGCTTTGCTATTCTCATAACAGTATGCTGGTGGTTATGTGTTTTCAAATTTTTCTGAAAGAACTAACAGCTTTCTACTAAATAGGATACTATTTCATGGGCTTAAAACATCACTTCCCAAATGAAAAACTCCAGTTCCTTAGTTACTGTGGAAGCTTTTAAGCTGAACTGAGAACAAAATGATGAAGTCAGACAATTTTCATGTTAGACCACCACTCGTGGATAAGGGGAGCAATTAACTGGCCTCAGTGCAATCAAGACCTGAGGTTCCCCTGGAATAGTACTGTAGTGAGTCAGAGATGGTACGGCAGTGGGCAGGGTTTGGAAGTTTCCTTTCCTTCTTAGCTCTCTAGGCTTGGAGAGAGAGGTGGCTGTCCTGTTACTTTTCTGATGTCGTCTCTCTTACGATTATTAGGGATATCTGTGTTTGCCTTATATGGCGTTGCAGCAGCATCATCTTCTCTCTGACGTCACCGTCCGTGGATTCGTTGCTGGGGCTACTAACATCCTATTCCGCCAGCAGAAGCACCTCAGTGATGCCATTGTGGAGGTGGGCTTATGTATGAGCACGTGTCCTTGACACTTCTGGTCCCTGTTTTTCTTTCTTAACTGGAATTCTGACAGCATAGGAATAACACTAATAAAGGTAAAAATTGCTGTACCAGGCATTCTTTGCACCTTAGGTATATTAACTGACCTAATTCTAACAGCCTGTGAGATAGGCTTGTTGCTCTTCATATCTTACACGTGTGGAAGCTAAGGAGCAGAGAGATTAAACGGCTAGTAAGTGGGTGAGCCAGGTTGCAAGCCAGTCTGGTCCTACTACAATCTCATAATTAAAATGTGTTTATTGTTTAAATATTTTCAATACTTCTAGCCTATTTAATATGTTCCTGATATCAGGAGCAAGGAGCTACAGATAAATATTTGACATCAACATACAAAAAATTTAAATCGTATTTAGTTTTACAATTGAAGTAATTAAAAAAAGAAAAAAAGGAAATTTCACCCACCCTAGGTTTTTATAGTTTCTAATCGAAAGTACCAAAACATGCTTTGTGGGGAAATGTTTATAGTATCATAAATGAAAAATCTGGGATCCCAATTTTGAGGAATTAAAATAGGTCCATACCTTCCAAGGCAGAGCATACAGACAGAGGGACCACAGAGTTGCCTCAACATTACTGGTTACATTCTACTTTTAAAGCTGGTGGTTGGTGGGTTCATAGGTATGTGTATATTACTTCAAAATTAACCTGTAGGTTACATAGCTCTCTTTGTATTTCAAATATTACATAATAAGATATTCCAAGGTACCTGTGTACTCAAGAATTTTTAGGAATTATAGTTACTAATTGTATTTATTTCTGGTTGTGTGACAAAAGTGACTTTTACTATACCTTTCTGTTTTCCAAGATATTTACAAGTCAACAGTTACTTTTATAATTCAAAATAAAATATTTATGCATATATTTTCTAAAAACAAAATGAGGATTTTTTGAATAGATATAGAAAAAAACTTCAGTGTAAAAACCTGTCTCTTTCTTAGCCTCACTTTTTGAGAATGCTGTTATTCATATTTTTTATTTCCAGCTTCAGCTTCCCAGTAGTTACTCTTTAAAGTATGGCATGGATGTCCGCATGAATGCCCAGACTCTGACTTGTACCTGGGTACCCTCTAGGTAGAAGAAGCTCTGATCCAGATCCATGATCCAGAACTCAGGAAGCTGCTTAACCCAACCACTGCAGACCTCAGGTTCGCAGATTACCTAGTGAGGCACGTGACGGAGAACCGGGATGATGTCTTCCTGGATGGCACAGGCTGGGAGGGAGGTGACGAATGGATCCGAGCCCAGTTTGCAGTCTACGTCCACGCGCTGCTGGCTGCCACACTGCAGTTAGGTAAGGAGCACGGTTGCTTTTTCCTTTTGTAATCTTTATGAGGTTTTGAATTGTATAAGAAAGACATTTTCATTATAAAATTATCTGTTACTCCCTCATACAGAGATAACTGCTCTTAGCATTTTGAGTACTTGATATCCTTCCAGACTTTTTTCTATGTATGTTTCGGATTTTAGTTTTGTGGTATTTGTGGTGATCCTTTTACAAAAATGGATCCCATTCCAAATGTTTTCTGAAACTTATGTTTCTGTTATAAAGAAAAGCTATCGAGACTGTAAATGCAGGTCACTTTTACATGGCTGCTTAGTGTTCCCAAGGACCATGTGGAAGGAAGGATGTGTCAGTATCTGGGGGCTATTTATAAACATTGCTTACATGTTTTTAAGATATGTAAAGGGAGAAAAATGAAAGAAATCACTGGAAATCACATTCCGAGTGATTAAACCTTCAAGTTTTCCATTCTAAGAAATCCTATTCCTATTAAATGGTTAAAATAGAGCAGGTAAAGATAGACTCACTCCTGTATTAAAACCATTTCATTCCCCCATAGGGAAGGAAATCTATAAAAAGAGAAAATGAAGCTTTACAGTGAGCTTTTGCATGTGGTTGTCTACCACCGTGGGCATGTAGCAAATACTTAGTAGGTTGTTGTAGTTGTTAAAAGTGAGCTTTTGTTTTTCCTTTTTTTTTTTTCAACTATCTCTACCACTGTTTGGGGGAACTATTAAAAATGTGGTGAAATACACATAACCTAAAATTTACCATCTTAGCCGTTTATAAGTACGTAGTTTCCCAGTAGCAGTAAGTGCACTCACACTGTCCTGTCAGTACAGCCCCCTCCCAGGTTAGTTCTTCATGAAGTGTGCATGTCATTTGTAAAGGAAAGCTCTGGAGCAAGTCCTTATTTGTTAATGGGATATTTTTAAATATCTCGCCTCTTCTACAGATGTAACAGCTGAGACACCAAGATTAAATGTGTAGTTCAAAATCATTCACTAATCTAGGAAGAAAACCCCAGTCTCCACCAGTCATGTTAGCTTCATGAGTAATTTACTTTTTTTAAACATATTTGCCTAGGTAGCTGTAAATGCTGAATAATAGTGACTAGCCTTTTTTTTTTTTTTTTTGGAACATATGTACAGGGACCTGTTTTGTTTTGAGCACTTTATTTCTAACTCATTTCATCTTCACAACAATTCTGGAGGTAGAGACCATGTCCTCTTCATTTTACAGGAGAGGCAGTGAAGCACAGAAAGGTTAAATAGCTTGCTCATCCCTCTGGTCGAGGATGAGCTGTGATTCAAATTTAGATAGTCTGGCTCAGGCCCATGCTGCTGTTCCAAAGGAGATTCAGCCTAGGGAGCTGTTTGAGGAATACATTCTTAAGAGAATTTCCTTATGTTGCACTTAGAGTCATGTGTATTCTCTTCCTTTCCCAGCAACAAAAGTCCTGTTTCACCTTCAAAGCAGGCAACTTATGATAAATATATGAAGCAAAATCCATTTGTATCTGTTCTCCAAACCTTTTCTATTCTTCCAAGCAGAAGTGTTCTGCATTAAAGCTTCCCCATGATAATGAAAAAGCCGAAAAGTTTTCAACATTAAATATGAAAATTCCTTTGTTATTTAAGTATTTTGATGGTGAAATGCATGGAGATTAAAGAGTGAGTTTCATCAAATAGTTAAAGTCCTAAGAAGAAAAAACAGTGACTAAAAGAACCAATTCATGTATTCATTCTGATTTTTTTCATAGAAATACATTTGTGAAAAGCTAGAAAGTGCTCTAATTGCCTACTCCATATGTATATACATCAATACATTTACTCCCTGCACAGTCTACAGTTTTTGCTTAATAAGTAATACTATGGCTCCTGACCTTGGTAAGGAGAACGTGGAAATATTTTGGAATTGTAAGGAACCTTAGAATATATCTGGCTCAACCCTCTTATTTTCTGGTTAGGAAAATGAAGTTCTGAGTGATTAAGTGACTTGCCAAAGGCCACATAGCTTCTTAACAGGATTTCTGGAACTAGACCCAAGTTTCCTGATATCTGGTAGGCTGTCTCCCCCAAAAAGCATGGGGGTGGGGGTGATAAAGCCATTCCTTGGTTTTGGTTTTTTGGTTATGAATCTTTATATCCCTGACTGGCTACAGCCCAGCTCAACTTTCAAATATTTACTTGACAGATAATGAAAAGATATTATCGGACTATGGGACAACCTTTGTTACAGCATGGAAGAATACTCACAACTACAGGGTGTGGAACAGCAACAAGCATCCGGCACTTGCAGAAATAAATCCGAAGTAAGCACATCCTCTGAGGATTGATAGTACATAACATGGTTGATTTACAAGTGTGCCCCAATATAAAGAAGATCGTATCTTAACTTTGATGACATCGTGAATATCTCCAAAAATCTCCTTAAGTAGATTATAAAATCCCAAATACAGAGAAGCAGCTGAAAACTGCTTCCCTGTTCTTACTTCTTACACAAAAAGGTCAAGACATTTTTGGAAGGATTAATGTTTCTCCCAGCTCTTTGCATAATTCAGAAGAGGAAGTCTGGTACATGGCAATGTTCCGTACATGATAGTTCTCTCCCTTTCCCTGGATCTGTACTTTAGCAGAATGGTCAAACAAGATAGAAACCTTGAAGGAAATACCACTGGCTGAGACTGAGAGGTTATTTTAAAACATGAAGTGTGAAAAAACTAAAGTTGATATTTGAACTCCTAGATGTGTGGTCAAACCTAGTTTCCAGCTCAGATTCTAAAATCCAACAAAATTTAATACCTGTCACAATACTGAATGTTGACAGACTTTATCCATGTAAGCATAAAAGACATTTAAACATGTTGTGAAGTGGGGCCATTATGAAGCAATGCTGTCTTGTTTGAATGGAACAGAGTAGAATCTAAGGAGATCTCTCCATTGATAGAATGTGTATGTAGTACCCCTCCCCTTCTTCGTGGTTTCGGTTCCTCGGGGTCAACCACAGTCCTGAAGCAAATGATTCTTTTTGTGACGTGTCATCAGAAGGTCGGTAGTAACCTAACACTACATCACAATACTTAACGTCCTTCACCTCCCTTCATCTCATCACTAGGCATTTTACCATCCCACATCATCACAAGAGGAGGAAGGGTGAGTACAGTGCAGTAAGATATTCCAGAGACAGAGAAAGACTACATTCACATAACTTTTATTACAGTGTGTTGCTATAATTGTTGTATTTTATCATTAGTTACTGTTTTTAATCTCATGCTGTGCCTAATTTATAAATTAAACTTTATTGTAGGCATGTGTATATATAGGAAAAAACATAGTATATTATATAGAGTTCGGTACTGTCTGTGGTTTCAGGCATCCATTGGGGGTCTCAGAATGTGTCCTCCGCAGATAAGGGAACTACTGTACATCCTAGGGACTTCTTTTCTAAATTAAATGATTAAAATTATTTTTTTTAATGTTACAAGTATACACTGAATGTTTTTCATTTGTGTTTTAAACTTCTTGGTGAGACAAAAACCAGCTTTGTACTAACTACTGTATTATTTGGGAGCTGGGGTTAACTGGCTAGACTGGGGATGTGATTTAAGTGGTACTATAAAGAATATTCCCTCTCTCTCTCCACACTCACACACACACACACACACACACACACACACACAAACAATCCAGATATTTATGTCATGGTAACTTGGGGAAGCATCTGCAAGGATGAAGTATAGCAGGGTTTTAAAGAACACGTCTGTTAAACTTTATATCATCTCTCAAGAAAAATGACTAGGTTCAGCAACAATTTTGGTGAATTTAATCATCACACTGGAGTATAGCAGAAACCTCTATTTGGCATTTGAATGTGGTAAAAACATAGAGAATTAAAAGACAAAAATATCTTAATAGTATTAAATGAAAGAGCTAAGAGTTCAAAGTATTCTCCCTCACTAACCACAAGGTCTGTGTTTTAAAGAGTGATGAAGGAAAACAGATGTGAGTTTGTTTGCCTGGTGGCCCTCACTGTGATGGGGGCTGGGGGGAGTGAGGGCCCACCTCAGCCATCCGCAGTATGGCCTACAAGGCCATCCAGTCTCTTCCCCCAGTGTTCTGTACTGATAACCTGGTCAGATCTTCCCCCAGTGTTCTGTACTGATAACCTGGTCAGATCTTCCCCCCACGGTTCTGTACTGATAACCTGGTCAGATCTTCCCCCCACTGTTCTGTACTGATAACCTGGTCAGATCTTCCCCCATGGTTCTGTACTGATAACCTGGTCAGATCTTCCCCCAGTGTTCTGTACTGATAACCTGGTCAGATCTTCCCCCAGTGTTCTGTACTGATAACCTGGTCAGATCTTCCCCCAGTGTTTTGTACTGATAACCTGGTCAGATCTTCCCCCAGTGTTCTGTACTGATAACCTGGTCAGATCTTCCCCCCAGTATTCTGTACTGATAACCTGGTCAGATCTTCCCCCAGTGTTTTGTACTGATAACCTAGTCAGATCTTCATCTAGTCTCTGCCTCTGTGGTGGTGCCTTTAACTTGAACCAGCTCTATAGATTTTAATGCAGGTTCATAAGAGGCTTAGCTGGAATGGGTTTTAAAGGGTTGTAAAACGGTACTTTTAAAAATGTGTAAATAAATTGGGGTTATTTAGATTGAAGAGAAAGCTGAAGAAAGACTTGATATATATAGGTAGGGAAATTATGCAGATATAATAACAGTTTTTCATTATTTTCACCAAATTAAGAACAAGAAATGATAGTCTTCAGTTGTTATCAGGGGATATAACTTAGACATATTCCAGACTCAGATCTGAGATCTATGAAACCCTTTCTCTAGCTCCAAAAGAGGAGAGAAGGTAGTCCTCTAACTTCCCTTAGTAAACAGCAGGTATGCTTCATCCTTTAAACAGGGCCTTCCCAGGAATATAAAGAATGATTAAGTACTCTCAGTTCGGGCGACTGGGTGGCTCAGTTGGTTGGGCACCTGCCTTCTGCTCAGGTCATGATTCTGGAGTCCCAGGATTGAGTCCCTCATCGGGCTCCCTGCTCAGTGTGGAGTCTGCTTCTCCCTCTGACCCTACCCCCTCTCGTGCACTCTCTCTCTCTCTCACTCACTCTCACTCTCAAATAAATCTTTAAAAATAAAAAAGTACTCTTAGTTCTTTCAACCTGTGATTCAGGAATCCAGAAAAAGTAATTACATATGCTTAATATGGCCAGTAAGGAAATTTGTTGTCTTTTGAAAAGCCACAAATAGCATTTTGATGTTTTAATAAGTAGCTATAGATTGCATTAGGGTCACTTTTTTTTTTTTAATTTTATTTATTTATTTGACAGAGAGACAATGAGAGAGGGAACACAAGCAGGGAGAGTGGCAGAGGGAGAAGCAGGCTTCCCGCTGAGCTGGGAGCCTGATGCAGGGCTCGATCCCAGGACCCTGGGATCATGACCTGAGCTGAAGGCAGACGTTTAACCCACTGAGCCGCCCAGGTGCCCCTAGGGTCACTTTTTTTGTTAGACATTGAGAGAGACCTCTCAGGGTGTAATAAGAATGTGGATATTTATTGACTCCTTTTATGGTACAACTTTGGTCAAGTTGCCTGATTTTATGTGTGTGTGTGTGTGTGTGTGTGTATATATATACATGCGTGCACACATACACTTCTTCCCTTTTGTACATTTTTAAGACCTGCATTTTGAGTTGCTTTTCAAAAAGAAAAAATACAGATTTTACTGATGTACACAAATCTTCAGATGACCAGTTGCATGCATTTATAAGATGGCCAGAATCAAAGTACAGTCCATGGCCGTGGCCTAAGGTAGTGACTAATCCTGACTATCCTGGGGAGCTTTTTAAAAACACTGATGCTTCAGCCCAGCCCCAGACCAAATAAATCAGAACATGAGTGTAGCATCAACATAAACCTCTTTCTCACCCCCCACTCCAAGAAAAAAAAAAACACCTATTTCACAAGGGAGGAAATAAGCTCAAAGAGGCTCCCAAGACTATAAGTAAAGATCTGCGCTCAAAGCCGCTTTGCCTGCTGTCATGTGCGGAACACCTCCACCTAGCTGAGTCACCCCACAAGGTTTACTGATACTTCTTGTGACAGCATTGTTTTGCAGCTTTATTGGTAAAATACTCATAGTCTAACAGTCAGAAACTTTGTTTTACAGTCATCCTTTTCAAGGCCAGTACTCCGTATCAGACATGAAGTTAAGATTCTCACAGTGAGTATTTAGAGAAAAAACTAGGAAAATTTTTATGTCTGAGCTTATGGCATGTGTTTCATTGCTAATTAGGAATTGTTTGTCTCCACTTGATAGACTTGTGCTTCAAATAGTAACGAAATATGTGCATGACATTCTCCAGCTCAGCAGTGTGTATGTTTCAGAGTAAAAACACTGCTGTTTCATAGAGAATGGTGTGAACTAATAACAGAATTTGCCATTTTTATTCTGGTGGAGTAACTTTAGCAAATCATAACTGTAGGGAGAATTAACCATGCATTCTTATGGCCTTTTTTTGGTTCATCTGCATGTTATTTTAGTATTTTCTGAAAGTTTACATGCTTAAGGTTACCAAATTAATTGATGCATGACAAATAATTTAGCTTCTTTTCTCAATAACTCTATTTTGGGGGTGGTTCTAAGGTGTGGTATGTGTGAATTTTTGTAATGTACTTAAAACTTCTTTGCTTTACTCAGTTCTGTTCAAAACAGTGAACGTGGCAAAAAAATTGGAAACGTCATGGTCACAACCAGCCGAAATGTTGTACAAACAGGAAAAGCTGTTGGTAAGACATGCCTTTAGCCAGAAACAGATTAGAATCATAACACATCTCTTCTCTGTACTCAGTGTGTCATTGATAAAATCATAAAGTTGTAGAGACCTGTGTGTCATATAATAATACAACAAGATGGTTGAATACAAAGGTTTTGTTTTCATCTTATTCATGAAAATTCTTATGACATCAGATAATATCAAAGTTCAGCAAATTTTGCCACACCTGATGGAGAGAGACCAATTTTCTAATGTGTTCACTGTTCTGTTCTAAGGAGTAAGCATTTCCTGAGCTGCCTGCAGTTTTTTATAAGTAGTAGAGCACCATAATAAAGTAGGCATTAGGAGTGCTGTCTTCTAAGGTATTATCATAAAATGAAATCAGTGAAACCAACAGGTCATTTTTTAAAAGATCAACAATATCAGTAAAACCTTTATAGGCTAATAAGAAAAGATACAAATTACCAGTATCGGGAATGGAAGAGGGGACATCACTATAGATCTTAGAGAAATTAAAAGTATTATAGGGAATATTGTGAATAACTTTATGCCAATTTTTTGACAATTTAGCTGAAATATGCAAGTTCTCTGAAAGACTCAAATTGCCAAAACTGATGCAAAATTTAAATAGCCCTATATCTATTAAATAAATTGAATTAAAAATCATGCCACGGGTTTTTAATTTAATATGAGCCAAGATGTCTTCACTTATGAATTTTATCAAATATTTAAGGAATAATACCAATTTTATACAAACTTTCAGAAAGTAGTGGATGAGTTGTAACCCTCCCCAGTTCTTTATTTATTATTGTTATTATTTTTAATCAGAGAGAGTGAGTGAGCACAAGCAGGGGCAGTGGCAGGCAGAGGGAGAAGCAGGCTCCCCTCTGAGCAAGGAGCCAATGCAGGACTCGATCCCAGGACCTTAGGATCATGACCTGAGCCAAAGGCAGACACTTAACCGGCTGAGTCACCCAGGTGTCCCTCCCCAATTCTTTTAATGTGGCCAGTATTACCCTGAGAACCGAAGCCAGAAATGGTATCATGCTGTTGTGTACATTCTTCTGCACTTAGCTTTCTTCAGTTAAAATACTTTGAAGTTGGGGCACCTGGGTGGCTCAGGTCATGATCCTAGGGTCCTGGGATCGAGCCTCACATCGGGCTCCCTGCTAAGTGGGGAGCCTGCTTCTCCCTCTCCCACACCCCCTGCTTGTGTTCCCTCCCTCACTGTGTCTCTCTCTGTCAAATAAAGTCTTTGAAAAAAGAATACTTCAAAGTGTGTTCCATATCAATTCTAAAAAAAAATCTCATTCCTTTTCTATATTTTTAACTTTTTTTTACACAATTTCAAACTTGAATGGTGCAGCAGTGTGCAAGGAACTCCCAATTATCTCAGATTTGCCAATTATACACATTTTGCCACATTTGCTTTGTCGTATCAGTATGTAAAAATAGGAGCCATCTCCTTCCTCAGCTTTTGAGAAAGGTTGACTAACCCTTACTGAACACAATTCAAAAGCCCTGGACCTCAGGAATCTCTGTGCAACCCTCCGAGTTCTACCATTCTATGTAGCTAGAGATAGACAGGGTGAGTGAACTACATATGTAGTCTACAGACCCGTCCCTTTAGAAGACAAACATAGAGCACATAGCCCCATCAGTGGGTTCATTTTATTACAGGGAATGGAATTTAATATGTAAGCATTTATTTCCATACAATATTATGCATTTAACTTTTGACTTCTTATTTTTTAATAGAAAAATTCTCCTTCATTATAAGTGTATGATGTCAATCGTTACTTCATTTTTAGTGATGCTACTATTTACATTATAAGGCCAGTTCTTTTCCATACTCCCCCTCTCTAAGAATAGTGGTAATATATGATTCAACTTAAATAATTTCACTTAAGCATCAACTTTGGAGATGAGGTTTTTTAAAACAAAACTGCCTGAGGCAGATAGAGCCGTTGGCATCTTCATTTATTCCAATATTGTTTCAGATGACAACAGCACAGTTCCTGAAAGTAGCCTAACCACTATTCCCTGTGTAGGTGGTCATCAGTTATCAGCTTGGGTTTAAGCTACGGAGAGCACAGAGTTCTTTCTCGGCTCTCCCAAGTGATTCTGATGCACAGCCAGTGCTGAGAACCGATGGCCTAGCATGGTGGGTATTAAGGGAAGAGTCGGCTGAGTACCTTCAGAATGGTTAGGAGAGGAGGCTCTTTTCCCAGAAGTTACCCAGTTTCCTTCTAGACACATGCAGAGAAAGGGATTGTTTTGAAACTAGAAATTTAAATGGTATTTTGGTAACTGTTAACATATTGATGTTACAGTCAATTAACATTCATTAATTAACATTGGTCTTTCATGGTCTGTTAACAAAAGTGAAGGCATTTTTGCTTTTGTTTTTCCCCTCCTCTCCATCCAGGCCAGTCTGTTGGAGGAGCTTTTACCAGCGCAAAGACAGCTATGTCTTCATGGCTTTCTACTTTCACCAGTCCTGCCCCCCAGAGTCTCACTGAGCCACCCGACGGGAAGCCCTGAGCAAGGTGTCCAGAGGCTGCTGTTGCTTCCTTAGGTTTAAGTGTCTCCCGTCCGTCTGCTCCCATCTTCATCAGCCACAGGTCCACAGCAGGGGACCAGGACGTCGAACTGTTTACATGGACGGTTGCCCTCTGTCTAAATGAATGTCGCAGGATGCTGGAAAAATGAAATTGCAGCCATAGCGGGGATGGCTTTCCAGGTTGGGGTTTAAATTGACTACTTTTATTTCCATCTGAGCCTGATTAAAAAACAGCTCTGATAGTGTACATTTGTTTACTTTAGAAAAGTTTTTACTTCTGTAAATTTTGTTCTCTTTTCCTGTTTGAATATCCAGATGGCCACTGTAATTTATATGGGCTAAAATTAAATATTACTAATTTCTCTCAAGTTGGCCCTAAAATGTGCTTATAAAGTTAAGGGGCCATACAATCCAGCCCTTTGTTATTACTTTGCCGAGTTATATGATGATTTTTGTTTGTTAGTTGGTTTTCTACCCACAAAACACATTTATCAATTCACTTCCTCCCAGAAACATGAAGCCAGAGGTGGTAGTTCTGAGGATGGAGTGTTTAAGGTTTCATGTTTTTAATTTCTTCTTTCCCAGTCCTAAATACTTGCTCTGAGGTGTCCAGGAGTGTCACTGTGCTTTCTTCCTCTTCCCAGCTGTGCAAGTAGGTGTGCAGAGAAATAGCATGGTGCCGGTTACAATGGTTTCAAGCAGTTTAACGTGAGTGTATTTAGGGCCAGACTCTAGAAGACCTTGGTGTTAGTTCTGTCAACTCTAGTTATGTTGCAGTCTTTTCCAAGCATTTTTTAACCCGCAGTTTGTGCCTTCTGCTTCTTTTGAACCGTTTTCCATCGGGTGTTTACAGATGTGCAGGTTTTTTTCTTAGTCTTATTCTTCATACAGCTTTTCAAGGTGTTTGGCCTTCCCACTTCCCTGATGGAAAATCCTCCTGTAATCAGTCCCTACCCCCTTATAAAAGTATTTATAAAAAAAACAAAAGATGACCCATAAATATCAAGTAGAAATCTCATCTTTGCTCACATTTAGAAAAGCAAGAGGCAAGAGGAGAAAAACACAGCCACAGTTTTCACAAAGGACCTCTGGTTTCACTTTAGACACATGCACGTATGTGCTATCTACTGAAGATTTTTACACAGCTGTACCTCATGTATCTGTTATGCTTAGCTCTCATTTGCTTTTCAAGGGAACTTTGGGTGGGTGCTCTCAGGGAGTACTTAACAGGGGACAGACTGCTTTTTCAGTAACAAAAGACACTTGGAAAATACCCTGTATGATCTACATATGATAGAGTATTGGGAAAACAAGAGATGTGATTAAGGAGAACACTTGATTATATTTGATTTATCCCTTAAGAATGGGGCACCTGGCTGGCTCAGTTGGTAGAGCATGTGACTCTTGATCTCAGGGTCATGAGTTCAAGCCCCACATTGGGTGTGGAGCCTACTTAAAAAAATAAAGTCTTTTTTAAAAATTTAGAAATGTTTAAGAAGTAAATTTTTCTAGGGCATGTGAAATGGACATAGGGATATAATTCTAAATATCTCTAAATTTTCCAGTTTGTGTTTTAACACAAGTCCAGCAAATCTGAAAGTGTACTTCCATTTTGAGCACAATAACTCAAAAATTCAGTAATGATCAATGAAAGGGCTTATCGTGAGAACTCTCTTAATTCCACTTCTGCTGGGAAACAGCCTTCTCAGGAAATATTATTTGAAGAGCAGAAAGTAATACCAAACAATACCTTTAAAAGGTACTTTAATCAGTGTTGCACTGAGACTATAAAGAATTCATTCTAACATCTTGTTTCATGAGGCCACATCATTAGAGTGTCATAGTGTTAGTATGCAATTGTTACCTCTCACCTGCCCGAAGTTCACAGTGCTGAGAGCCCCGTGACAGGTCAGCCAGCATGCTACTGGTCCATGCTCCAGTTTATATGGTTTGTGGGCTTAGGGTAAACTCCCATCTGTCACTGTTCAGAAGCAGGCCAATCCACACTTTGATATCCCACTGAAATAAAAATAGTTAACCTTTACTTTAGGATCACTCGTTCTCCATTTTAATATACACTTTTACATGAACTTTCTAGTTAAGAGTTCGACTCTTAAGGTGATCATTTAACTGGCTTTCAACATAAAGTGAATATCTCAAAAGATAGAACTTTTGTTGGAGAAGTAGTCAAAAGACCATAACTATATTTCCTTCAGGTTCTGGGAGGCGTTGGAGTTTTCAGGGAGCATAAGCTACTATGTTGTTGGCAGGAGCTTGGGGGCAGCCAGCACACTTGACAGCAGGAAGCCTGGCCTTTTGTCCCATGAGCCTACATGCTTGTCACTTGGATTCCAGGTGTCAGCTGAGTGGCCAGCCCCAGAGGCTGTAGCCTCCTTGGTTCTGTGAGCGATGGGAGCCAACCTTAGGTCATCTTTGGACATCTCACTAGTAAAGAGGGATATTTTGTTGGGCCATGCTTGCTCCAGTGCTTTTCTGTCTAAGAACTGAGTATTTGTAAGTAGGCCTGAGGGAGCTAGGGTCAGCCAGGCTTTTCCAGGGTGTGCCAGGCACATGGGCTGCATCTGTAGCTTGGTGGTGGCCTCACTGCCAACTAGGTAACTTAAAAGTAGTGCTGGCAAGAAGTCTCTGGCATTATTTCGTTCCTACTCAGGCATTGTAATGATAATTTACATAGAGAAGGAAAAGAGTTGTTAAGGCTACCAACCACCTGTCCTGGGCTAAGTGAATAGAAAAAGTTGCATGTCAGAGTGAGGCTTAGTTATCTTGTGTATGCGTTTGACTCTTGTAACCAGGATGAATAGCCTGTCCCCAGATCCACTAGTGATGTGTTAGCGCCGAAGCTCTAAAACAATCCTCATCCACTTTTTGCTTTAAGAAACGGCAGAACTATCCTCAGGCAGCAAACCAGAGCATATGACGTGATTTCCTCAGTCTTATCTTGCTTTCTGAGTTCTATATTAAGCATTGCCCGTTTTTTTTTTTTTAGAATAATTTACTTCAGAAAGGCAAGGAGAAAGCAAATTAGGAAGGGAGACAAGTAGACAAGTTAGAAGTTGCAAGGCTGAGGAACAAGGTACTTAAAATCTGAATGAGGGTATTTTGAGAGCAGTATTTAATGTGCTAAAGGTTATAAGAATTCTTTTACAAAGAAGTTAGAATTTTAATCTACTAATTACAAGTTTTAAAATGAACCTATAACATTATCTCCCTGACAGGCAGGTTTTGTTCTTTGTTTTGTGGAAGTTACAGCCAGCCAGTGATTTCCCCCCCCCCCGGGCCTGATGAGGAGTTGGGGAGCCCTCAGCTCTGTGAGGGGCAGTGAGCTGATCTTGAACCGCATGATCTTTTATCTGTGTCAGCAGTTTGGGAAAGTAGCCTTTTAGGAAGGTAGCTGCTAAATATCACCCGTGTTTTATCGGGGTTGGTTGGGATTCTTGAAATGGCATCAGCATTTGTATGCTCTGATTCTTTGACCAGAGGTGGCACAGCATTCGTGGCCTTTCCACCCAGATCAGTAGTAGCCTCTGGGGCTGACAGGGAATGCAGCCCCAGCTTCTAGAAGATGATTGTCATTTCATGCGACACAGCGTGCCACTAGGAGTTTTTCATTCCGGGTCTTTGGACTTCATGACATTGGAATTGTTTTGTCATAATTTCTAACATTCCATAAATATTTGTCAAGGACAAAGAAAAGGAATGTGGATCTTTATTCTTTTCGTATAAATAACTTTGTACACATGACTTCCTGCTTTCGTATGAAGGGGAAGAAATTAGCTCCTCCCTTGTATGGTAACTCCAGAATTAAACGATTGTGCATGTAGAGGGGTTGAGTATATTTTGTAAAACTCTAATGATTTGTATTTCTGTGCTGTTCTAAAGTTTACCTTTTTACTTATATTAATTAAAGATACAGAAACTATATATTTAAATCATGTAAATGGGATACAGTTTGGGGGGTTTTTTCCAGTCTTATTTTTCATCAGCTTCTCACACACACATAGTATGCTGCTCAAATTTTTTTGTGTGCAATATAAACATTTGAACATTTCAGTCAGGTACTGAGCCAGAAAAGGTAATTGAAGTTTTTTAGAAAGCTTCTGTGCTAGAAAATCTTTGTTTTCTTGAAATATTAATAATTTATAGCTGGATAAATGGGATCAAGACTTAATGTGTTTCAGGCCACTTGGTCATTGGTTCCTAAACTTAGGAAGCATTTGATAACAAGTTGGTGAATGCATTTAGTGGTCACAAAAATAGTTTAAACATTTGAGATTAAAGGCTTCCCACAAACCCTCTCTAAGAAAGTTTAGCTAAGAGATCTTAGAAAGTTTTCTGAGGAGGTTTAGCTATGGCACATGTTTTGATCAGAAAGATAGTTCCTCTTTGCTCCAGTAGTTTTATAATTTGTACTAGTTCTTTGGTTTCTGTTGTCATTTGTTTAAAAAAAAAAAAGTGTTAAGATTATAAATCACGTCTAATCATAGTGAATTGTAAAACTTCTGTATCTTTATTTTAAGGAAAAATAAGAATAAAAGTGTCCTGTTTGTCCTACATACAGTCGTACTGTCTTTCTGGAAGTACACTTGATGTTGTCCGTGCGGTCTCTGGCCCGCTTCATGGTTGGACAGCGGTGCCAGCTTCATGTAAGAAACCACACAGACGGAACCAGAGGACTCGTTGCTCATTTAACCTCTCATTTTGATTTTGCTTATGGTGGTGCCTCTGTTTTTAAGGTGATGACCCCTGCAGGAAGAACCCCTTAGTTTCTCTGGAATGCTAAGTGCACAAAGTACAACCAAACAGAGATTGGTCGTGAGATAATACCTCATCACATGCTCACTGACAGAAACCCCCAGGGGAATAGAACATTGTCTCGAGCAGCCTATTTTCCCACCTGGACTGGTAAGCTTTAAAATAGCCCTTGGCATTTCTACTGAGGGCTCCTGGCATATTTTCATATTTATTTCCATGTCCTGTGATTTTCTTACAGCTGTTCTACAAAAGAGGAGCTTGGTGATGCGCTTCAGAGAAGCAGACAAGTTTCTTTACCCCAGGGGAGGGTGCACTTCCTTGAGTGCGGGGTTAAGTTTAAGGTCCCAGTGTTCTCTGACATGGACCATTAGCACCCCCAAATTGATGAGGTATTTGGGGACAGTGGAGCCAGGCACCGCCGGCATCTCCCCTTTTCCAAGGACCTCTGCCACCTGGGCAT